TCAGGTAAAAAAAAAAATGAAACCCAACCTGAACAATAACTAAAACAAAAGGGACTGAGGGCATGATTCAACTGGTAGAAGCTTTTCTAGCAAGAATAAGATCCTGAGTTCAAATCCCAGCATAACAACAAAATTCTCAAGAAAGTATATTTTTTAAAGAAATTGAACAGTATATTAAAAAAATACACATAATGACACTATGGGATTTATTTCTTGGTGGACGTTTTCTTTTATACACAATCACTATGATGTCACTTTAACAGAATGAAGGATTTTAAAGGTATTCATCTCAAATAATTTTATACAAACAAAGGAACATGCATCTATGCAGAATATGTTGCTTTGGCCCTGGTTTACTTTGCTTAATAAAACGTTTTCCAAGTCTATATTTCCTTACAAATAGTACAATATCATATATAGTGTGTATATATACGCACTATATATATATTACATATATATACATATATATATACATATATATATATATATACATATATATGTATATATATGTCACAGTTTCTTGATCCATTCATCCACTGAGGGATATCTAGGTTGATTCCATATGGTAAACGATGATGCAATAAACATGGTTGTCCTGGTGGCTTTAGTGTAGCCTGGTTTGTGGTCCACTGACTAAATGCTCAGGAATGGAATTGCTGGGTCATAGAGAAGTTCTGTGTTTAGTCTCTTGAGGAGCCTCCATATTGCTTTCCAGAGTGGTTAAATTTACATTCCCACCAACAGTGTAATAGGGTTCCCTTTTGGTCACATCCTGACCAGCATTTGTTATTCTTAGTTTTCATATAATAGCCTTTTTGCTAGAGTGAAGTGGTTCAATGTTGGTTTGATTTGCATTTCTTTTCTTTTTTTTGGGTCCGGTCGTGGGCCTTAACTCTGGGCCTGGGCGCTGTCCCTCAGCTCTTCAGCTCAAGGCTAGCACTCTACCACTTGAGCCACAGCACCACTTCCGGCTTTTTTCTTTTTGCTTATGTGGTGCTGAGGAATCGAACCCAGGGCCTCATGCATGCAAGGCAAGCACTCTACCACTGAGCCACCTTCCCAGCCCCGATTTGCATTTCTTTTATGGCCAGAGATGAGAACATGGTTCAAAGAGAACTGTACTGATTATGCCTGATTATTGTAACTGCAACTCCTTTGTATGTCAACTACGCAAAAAAAAACAACAAAAAAACTGAAAAAATTCTTTTTATAAAAGCATTTGCCAAATGACTATTAATTCTAAATGAAATCATTTTCTTAATATAATTGCTTATAATTTTGCTATTTAAATTTACTGGTACCATTATCATCAATGAGGAAAATCTAAAGTTTTTCCAGTAAGATCTGATATACCAAAAAAGCATACACTTACTACTTGAATTCATCATGGTACTGTAAGTAGTAACAACAGTAATCACACAAGACTGAGAAGGACACAAGAAAGAGTTATAGACAGAATTCTGTATAGATAAGTGTGTATGTTTATACATATATACATCTGAATTTTCAAGCAATTATTCTAAAAATAAATAAATGAATCAATAAATTAAAAGACACAAAATCCAGAAAATCAGTTTTTTATAGACAAGTAATTAATGGCCTACCTAATAATTCAAGAAAACAACTTAAGTTCTGATAGCATCAAAAAGGTGAAATACTTAAGTATTAATTTATCCATGAGGAGTGAAAGATTTTTATACTAAAATCATAAAACCTTAATGAAAGATATTGAAGAAGCAAGTAGAAAGATATCCTACACTCATAACTCAAAAATAATATTGTAAAACAGTCATACTACCAAGACTACATACAGATTCAATAAATCCTTATCAAACAATGGTATTCTTCAAAGAAATAAGAAATTTAAATCTAACATGAATATGAAACAAAGTGACCCGCAAATAGTTAAGGTAATGAAAAAACAAAAACAAAAAAGTTACAGTTCTCATATTCCCTAATTTTCCCTAGTAATCAAAACAATATAGTATTGTCACAGAACAGAAAGCCCAGAGAAAATGTCAATGTATACAAACCAACTAATTCCTGACAAGGGCACCATTAAGAGACACTAGGGAAAGGGTGCACTAATGGTGCTAAGGATATTGAATTTCCAAGTGAAAATTAATTCTATCAGAAGTTTACTTACACTTTACACAAATATCAACACAAAATAAATAAAGACCAAACACAAGACTAGAAACTTTAAAATTCCTATAAAAAAAACCTCAAGAAAAACTTAAAATCATTGTTCTTGGTGATATTTTGAATATCACAATAAAATCCCAAACCATAAGATTAAAAGTAAATAAATAGGTCTACATGAAACTAAAAAAAAAAAGAAAGAAAAATGAAAAGAGAAGCAATTCATTAGATTCTTATTCACTGTTGATAAATATTTGCATAGCATGTTATCTTATAGGGGGTTATTATAAAAATTTACAAAAACACTCAATAGTAGAAAAATAACACAATAAAATGGGCAAAGGAAGCAACACGGAAGGAACTTGAGGTTATTGCATGAAAGACAGAAAGACAGGTACCACCCATGTTTCCATTCATTTATGGAAACTGAATCAATCTCCTAAAAGAATAGATGGAACAGTGTCACAGATTAGAAAATGGAGAGAGCAAGAAGATGAAAAGAAGTTAAATAAGGAGCAATCCAACACATTCAGCGCTAAGGAATTAGTTCTGATATTTCTATTACATGCTAGAGTAACTATGGTTTAAAGCCACTTAATAGATTTCAAATGACAAAAGAAAATGCAAAATCCTCAGCTCATAAAAATGTTAATTGTTGAAAAGCTGGATATGCTTATTACTTTGTGTACATATATTGAATTACCAAAACATATTTCATAAAGATGGGCATATTTTTATTTCAATAAGAAGTAGCAAAAGACCTCATTCTCTTAAGATGACAAAAAATGGCCAACACAAATAAGAATAAATGAATTTCAGCACCTCATCATGGAAATTTGGCCAAAACTCTTATAAATGAGTATTTATTAAGAAGTTTAAAGATAAAGCAACTCTGTGACCCAGCACCTCTTTTGGGAACAGATAGAATATAGCAAAAGAACCCAATCACTGCCTGGTACAAATACTTGTGCTCCATATTCGCTGCAGCATAAAAAGCACAATGAAAACAGAACACCAAACAATGGAAAGGGAAGGATACAGGTGAATAGAAATATAGGATGTGTAAAATGATGTAGATTGCTAAGGTGGACTGTGAAGCTTATCATTAACAATATTACACCATATATTCTATCTAGGCTGAATGAGAAGATTGGATATGAGCTTGCTACTAAAGCAAAATTAATTTGGTAATGTTATGAAATGATAGGTTGGTGCTTCACTTGTAACACTTTTTTCTATTTGTCAAGTATCAGAAAGCATCATGCTACATAACTTAAACATACATTATAACATTTATTTTAAAAACCAACTGGACAGATGATTCTTAAAACTGTTTCTACTTTCCAAGTCTTTATTAAGAAAATTTCAGCCAAGCCGGGCGCTGGTGGCTCACGCCTGTAATTCTAGCTACTCAAGAGGCTGAGATCTGAGGATCTCGGATCAAAGCCAGCCCAGGCAGGAAAGACCATGAGACTCTTATCTCCGATAAACCACCAGAAAACTGGAAGTGGTGCTGTAGCTCAAGTGGTAGAGCACTTGCCTTGAGCTGAAGAGCTGTTAAAGCCCAGGCCCAGAGTTCAAGCCCCAGGACCAACAAAAAAAAAGAAAAGAAAATTTCAACCATATTAAGTGAAGTAACCCAGTCCCAAAGAAATTTAGGTCCCATGGTTTCCCTTACTTGCAATAATGAGTATACATATAGGATAATCTTATCAGATGAGCTGAAAAACTCAAAAAGCATGTACAAATGACCATGTAAGATGATGCTAAGTGAAATGAACCCCAAGATTTAGACACAAGAGGTCTATCTTTATTGTTACTGTTTTAAATGTACCATGTGATTTTCTTTTGTTGTTGTTGTTTCCTTTGTATATTCTTTCCCCTGTGGCATATCCCCTGTTGTCAGGGGATCTTATATATGCATATGTCTAATTTGGAGAGGGGAAGGGGAATAACAAAATGCTGAAACAAGGACACAGGATGACCCACTACAACAAGGATACAAACAGGACAATATATTGGAAACTAACTTTACAACTTTGGGTGTAGGAGTTGGGGAGGTGGATGGAATGGGGTGGGGAGGAGTGTGGGAGGTGGGGGAGGGAAGGGTAGTGGGACAACAAGGAAGGGAAGGGGTAACAATGCTCAACAAGAAATGAACTCATTGCCTTACTTATATAACTGCAACCCCTCGGTATAGCATCTTTACAATCAAATCAACTCAAATCAAAACTATTCCTACTTTAACCGCTTAAAAGGATATTAAACCATTTGTAAATTTAAAAAAGTTTAATAACCCGCAGTTGCAATAATTTTGTACATCACGCAAAAATATCTACAACATTTGCATACATAGTCTTTTACATGCTCATAGAGATGGGCCAGACTCTATGAAAAAAACAAACAAAAAATTCCTACTTTTGCCTACATTTGCTAATTTCAAGCCTTACCCAAATATTTTCCAAATTTCAGTTAGAAAACAAAATGAAGCAAAAAACTACAGATTAAGGTGTGTGGCTCACCTGGTAGAGCTTCTGCCTAAGAAGTGTAAACACTGAATTAAGTTCTAGTACCAAAAACATCAGGGAAGTAATTGAAGATTGACAGACTGAATGTAATTGTCTTTTTCCCAATGTTCTCCTGCTAAACTGCAAGCTTTCCTTGACTGAGGAATGGCGGTCCAGCTGGCGAGTGACATAATCTTCTAATTGGATTCCTATGCATTGTCTGCTCCTTGAATTTTCTCTTAACTTACATACCTCTTTCTTTCTTTTCATATTCTTTACTTTTATGTCCATAGGTTACTTTTGTTCATGAGCTCATTAGAGTTCAAAATCACAACTACATATTGATCATACCTTGAGAATTTTGCACATAATCTCATAAACTGAGAATGTTTTCTCTGCTCGAGTCCAGTCCCAGGTGGTCACCTATAAGAGAAGAGAAAATAATGCTATTTGTTTTAGAAAAGTCGATCTTATTCTCTTCTTTAGTTCATTGCTATATTAGGGTGATGCTTTAATATGCTATAATAGTGATGCTTTCACAGATATATCAGTCTTTCATTTCATGAAGTCACTCCCATGTTTCCAATAATTTTTGGTTTGCTCTGATTTCTAATCTTTTCTTGGGGTGGGGCATTTCATTCTTTAATATATACTTTTTCCAATTTTTGTATATTAATTGTACAATGCCAATTGTACAATTGTGATTTCCATAGATACACAGAATATATTTTAATCATATTTCTTTTTTCTATTACTCTTTCTTATTCCTCCCTACTTTCCTCCCTATTTAATAACATTTTTCTTTTTGTCTTTTCTCTTCTGGTATTGAAGATTAAACCCAGCCCTGAATTTGGCAGTTCAGCGTTTTGCCATTGAGGTACTTATACTTCCAAATTACACTTTTTAAAGTAGGTTTCACTATCACACACTCATAGTTACATACAATATATTTGGTTTGTCCCTCCCCCATAATATAACCCCTGTTTTCACTGTATTTGATGTTGGTATAATTTGGGGAGGGGAAGGAAAAAAAAAACAAAATGTTTAAATAGGGATACAGATTGACCCACTGCAACAATGAGACATACAGGATGCTATGTCGAAAAATGAACTTTACAATTTAGGAGGGGGGTGGGTGGGGTAGGGGGGGATGGGAAGGTGGGGGGAGGGGGCAAGGGGGTAGATGAGGAGGTGGGAGGGACAGAATGGTAGGGGAAAACAAAGGAGGAGGCAATAATGCTGGATAAGAAATGTACTCATTACCTTGCTCATGTAACTGTAACCCCTCTGTACAGTATTTTCACAATAATATATATATATATATATATATGTATTTGGATCATATTAATACTCACTCTCATTACTCTCTCTTTCCACCTACCAATCTCCTCCTGCTTGTTCCCTCCAAAATAGTCTGTACTCTACATTCAAGTTTTTGTTTTTACATTTGAATCTGATTATGAAGATTTGTCTTTTTGAGTCTGACTTATTTCATTTAACAAGATCTCCAGGAAGTGGGGCTGTGGCTCAAGTGGTAGAGCACTCGCCTTGAGCTGAAGAGCTCAGGGACAGCGACCAGGTTCAGAGTTCAAGACCCACGACCGTCCCCCCCCACCCCCCAAAAAAATCCATGAAACAAGATCTCCAGTTGCAGCAACTTACCTGGTGTTATGTAATTTCCTACTGAAATAGGGTTGAATAGCACTGCATTGTGTATATATGCCACTTTTATGTATTATTTTTTGATGAATCACCTGGCTGATTCCTAAAGTTAGCTATTATGAATAGTTCAGCATAAATATGGTTGTGCAAGTGTCCTTATTGTAGGCTTATAAGTATGTCTTTGGGTATATACCTGGGAATGATATAGCAAAATTATATGATAGTTTTCTGTTTTTAATTTAAAGGAACAATCCTTCTGATTTACACTATGATCATGTTACTTTACATTCCCCTTAACTGTGTATGGAGATTCCTGTTTCCCAGTGTCCTAGCCAACAGTCACTTCTTTTCTCAATGGTAGCCATTTTGATTGGCATAGAAGAAATTTCAAAAGTCTGATTTGCATTTTATTTATGGGCCAATTTGTCCATCTGTTAATTGGAGTTTTTTTGTTATTTAGTTTTTTCAGCTCTTTATGTATTCTGGTGAGTAATCCCTAGTAATGCTATATGTAATGCATAACTGGGAAAGATTTTTCTCCCATTCGGCTGGCTGTATCTTGAGTTTGGTAACTATTTTCCTTGTTATGAAGAAACATTCAAACTTGCTGCAATACCATTTCTCAGTTCCTACTCTTATTTCCCGATTAATTGGAGTCCTATTCTGAAGGTCACTGCCTGTGACATTGTCTTTAAATGTTCCTCTGTGCTTTCATAGGAGCTTCAGAGTTTCAGGTATTGCTGGGTGCCAGTGGCTCAGGCCTGTAATCCTAGCTACTCAGGAGACTGAGATCTAAGGATCACAGTTCAAAGCCAGCAAGGGTAGGAAAGTCCATGAGACTTTTACCTTCAATTAGCCACTAGAAAACCAGAAGTGGAGCTGTGGCTCAAGTGGTAGAGTGCTCACCTTGAGCTGAAGAACTGGGGGATAGTGCCCAGAGTTCAAGCCCCATGACCGACAAAAACAAACAGTTTCAGGTATTACATTTATGTCTCCAATGCATTTGAATTGAGTTTTATACAGGGTGAGAGATAAGGATGCAGTTTCAGTCATCTCCAGTTTTCCCAACACTAGTGCGGAAGAGTTCATCTTTTCTATAGTGTAAGCATTTAGCATCTTTGTCAAGAATTAAGTAACAGTGTCATCTTAAGCTTATTCTTGATCTTCTGTTTTGTTGTTGTGCTTGTATTGCTTTTGTTACTATGACTCTGCTATTCAACTTGAATTGAAGTGTTATGATACTTCCAACATTATTCGTTGTGCAGTGGCCTTCTTTGGCAACTTGAGAACATTTATTTGTCAACATAAAGTTTAGTATTTTGTTTCACCTATGAAGAATGTCATTGAATTTTGGTGATGATTGTGTTGAATCTGTAACCACTTTGAGCAAAAAGCCATGTTTTCAGTATTAAATCTGATGATCTACCAAGAAAATTAGATTTTTCTGTCTTCAGTTTTTCAGTGTTTTGTGATTTTACTGGACAGCTAATTCACTACCTTAAGTTTTTATGCCTACAAATTTTATTTTATTTATTTTATTTTATTATTATAATTATTTTTTTTTGTTGGTCGTGGGACTTGAGCTCTGGGCCTGGGAGCTGTCCCTAGCTCTTCAACTCAAGGCTAGCACTCTACCACTTGAGCCACAGTGCCACTACGGGTTTTCTGGTGGTTAACTGGAGATAAGAGTCTCATGGACTTTCCTGCCTGAGCTGGCTTTGAACTGTGATCCTTAGATCTCAGCCTCCTGAGTTGTTAACTGGTGCCAGCTACAAATATTATTTTTTAAAGCTACTGGAAATGAATTTGTGTTCTTGCTTTTTCAGGATATTTGTGTTTTATATATAGAAAAGCTACTGATTCTATATAACAATCCTGCTAAATTATTATAAATGTTTATAAGATCTAAGAGTTTTCTGGTGGGACATTTAATCTTTTGAGTATTTGACCATATCAAGCTGCAAACAGGCCTATTTGATTTTTTTTTTCCTTTTGCCACTTGTATCTCCTCATTTCTTTTTTTTTTTTTAGTGCTCTACCTAGGAACTTAAGTTCTTATATTGATTAAGAAAAGGGAGAATAGAAAGTCTTATCTTTCTTTCAATGAAAATGTTTTAATCTTTTTCCCATTTATTACAAAGTTGCCTATAGGCTTGTCATATGTATCCATTTTAATGTGGAGGTATTTCTAGTTCATTTTGAGCTTTTATTCTGAAAGTGTACTGAATTTTATCACTGCACTTTTTTGCATCAGTTAAAATAATCGTGATTTTTTTCTCCTTTCTGCTACTGTATGAGATATAGTAATCTACTTAGGTTGATCCAATTTTGCATTCCTGGAATGAACTCAAGTTGATCATGGGGTATAATCATTCTAATATGTTATTGAATTAGATATAAATATATTTTATTTTGAATTGTAGGTCTATGATCATCAATTAAATTGATTTCTTATCTTTTTGGGTGTTCTTATCTGGATTTTCTTATCAGTAATAATGACATCACAAAATCAGTTTGCAGCTTTCTGTCCCTTTTTATTTCACGGGATAATTGAGGAACATAGGTGTTATTCTTCATTAAATGTCTGATTGTATTCAGCTGTGAATCCATCAAGTAAATCCTCAAATTTTACTTCTTCAATGTCGTTATCTGTTATAAACATTTTAATTTGTTTATATCTTCCAGGCTTAATTTTCGTAAATCATATGTATCTAGATATTTATGTATTTCTTCTAGAGTTTGCCAATGATTTTGAATGTGAATTTCCAAAAATACCCTGTACCTATTCTCTGCATTTTATTGATATCTGTTATAATAGCCAAGTATGTTTCTAAATATGTAAATTTGGGTCTTCTCTCTCTATTTTAGTTTTTGATCTAAAACTTGATTTTCTTGTGTATCTATCATTTCAAGAGCCAGTTCTTTGCTATATTAATTGTTACATTATTCTCTTCATGTTCATTTCATTAATTACCACTCTCATTTTTATTAGATTTTTACATCTGCTAAGTTTGTAGTTAGATTGGCCTTATTTTTCTAAGATTTGAAAGTCTATTATTAGGCTATTTATTTAAGATCTTTGTAATTTTTTAATACAAATATTCACAAAATCCATTTACTGCATAGTATAGGTACAGATTTGTGTTTTTATTTTCATTTGATTCTAAAAAGTTTTATGTTTCTTCCCTTATTTCTTCGAGGAACGACTGAAAATTCAAAAGTTTAGTGTTCAGTAGCTATGCTGTTTGTATAGATCCTATATGCATCCTTGATATTGTTATATAATTTATTTGTCATTTTTATCTGGTGAATTAAAACATATAACTTTAGTTTTCTTGAATTTTTTAGGATTTTCTTTATGCCCTAAAATGTGATATATTTTGGAAAAGGTTAATTGCTATTAGGAAGAATGTATATTCCATTGCTGTTGGAAGGAATGTGCTGTAGATATTAAGTCCATTTGATTAGTGGTATAGTTTGATTCTAATGTTTCTTTATTACCTTTTTTTCTAGTACATGCATCTGTTGATAGGAGTTGGGTAATGAAGTCACTGTAATTATTGTCTTTGAAATCTGTGTCTTTTTATACAATAATGTTTGTTTCATGAAATTAGATCTACCATAGTTAGATGTGTATGAATGTATTACTATTGTTTCTTCTCTTTGCATTGTTCCTTTATTAATATGTTACATTCTTTATCTCTTCTGACTGATTTTTTCTTGAGGTTGGATTTGTCAAGTACAGCCATTCCTAATTTCTTTGCTCCTATTTGATTAGTACATTTCTACCAATCCTTTCACTTTCCATTTTTCTACTTTTACTTGTAGCCAACGAAGACCAGACTTTGTTTTAATCCAATCAGCCAAACCATGTCTTTTAGTTGAATAGTTACAGTGATTTAAATTTGAATTTGAAAAGCATGTTTTAGTTTTAATAATTTCATTGTATTTTCCCTGGATTGATTTGAGCATTGTTCGTTTACTTCACCATATTGACATTAGAAATTTACTGGTTTATAAGTTGAACATGTTTTATTCATTTATTCTTATTCACCTTTCTATTTCTCATATGAAACATTTTTGTCCCCTGAGCTCCCATGTTGGTGATTGTTTCTTTCTTATCAATGTGTAGAATTCCTTCAAGTGTCTTCTGCAATGCTGGCTTAATGATCACAAATTCCTTTATTCTATACATATGTCTAAAAGTCTTTATTTTTCCATCAATTTTAAGCTATAACTTTCCTGGATATAAAGTGTTGAGTGTCAGCTATGTACTTTTAGAGTGTGAACTATTTCACTATGAACTCTTTTGGCTTTCTGTGACTCTCGTTAGAGGCTGATGTAATTCTCATGCATTTTCCATTCTAAGTAAAATGGCAATTTACTTTTCTTTCAGGCATCAGTATTCCTTCCTGTTTTACTGTTCATTGACTGCAGTATGACACAGAGAAGTTCTTCTCAAATCATTTCAATTTGGGGCCTAAATACCTCTTTTACTTGGAGCCCCAGATCACTCAGATTTGGGAATTTTCTGATATAATTTCATTGAATATATTTTCTTTGCTTTTCATTTTTATTTCAGCTTGTTTTTCTACCTGACAGACTGTTAGATTTGATTCCTTGGCCATGTCTCTGTGTTTTTGAAACATTGTTCCTGTTATTTGGACAAATCAGTTTGTCTTAGCTATCATAGTAAGAGTTCCTTATTACCTATACTTCTGAACGGTCCATTTGCAACCCTCTTACTTCTCGAGCTAATCTCCTATGACTAAGCCTTATCTAAGCACTATAGGAGACCTCCCTCAGATTCTCTGACATGCTATTTTCCATGTCGTTTTCCCAGAGTAATTGAATCTCAAATAGGCCCTCTCTTATGATAGTATCCAACTAGATATCTCTGAGATGTGGAGACCAACAAAATGGATCTCTTCTCCAATTCTGACCAATCTCATAGGAGAAGTCACTGCCGTATCAGAACTCCACAATGGGTTCAAGACTTGTAAGAAATACAAGTTTATCTTGTGGTTAGCACTGACAGTGGGTTGTTGTTCTGCCTGGCTTTCTTTGTGGCTCTCGTTTTCAGATTCCCTTCTTTATTTGAGAGCTGGCATTGGAGATCTGGGCTGTTTCTCGTCTCTGATTAGCTTTCTTGTTTCTGTGCTTCTCAGCTGTCCTGTCATCTCTGTCATGATTTCAAATGCGTTGTCTCTTTCTCTCTTCAGAAAAGAGTCTATCCTTTGTTGACCTAATGCCCAGAATCACATGGGAGAAGCTTCTTTCTGTGCTGTCTTATTGTAGCATTTATTTTAGTAAACACTTTCATTTGACATTAAATGCTGTCTGCCAAAACTATGTTACTGTACATGTTTTAAATAATGTGTATTCTCCATAAACATAATTAATGAGAAATTGTTTCACAAATACTTAGTAGTTGGGCCAAGTTAAAAACAGAAGGATGTGAAATATCCACACTGACTTTGATAAAAATATGATTTATGTTAAGAAAACCATCTATGATGCTTTATGACATTGTAAAGACATCAATAATGCAGATAAGTTGATTCTCTTCAACTTCAAGAGAACAGCAAGTCAAGCTTGAAAATTCCTAGGCTTTGTGGATTATCAGATCTGTCAGTGCATGTTCTGTCATTTAGTATTTATATTCAATAAATATTTATTGAGTGCTTACCGTTTGGTAGGGTACATATTTCTGAAAGTAAGATGTTTGATACAACACATAAGCCTACATGTTGTACAAATTCCACTGACTAGAGCTTAGAATATAATAGATTAATGACATGACTGTTTTGGCTTAAAGATACTGAGACAACATAGGTAAACATATTCTGATAGTTGCAAAGAATAGTTCACAGCTATAGTTTGGACCTTAAGAAACCCTACCCTTATATACTGATGAGTAGGTCTTATGTCTATGGTACTATTGGGAAGTGATAAAACCTTTAGGAAGTAAAGTCTAATGGAAGAAAAGTAGGTTATGAGGGATTCCCTTGAAGGGGATATTGAGACCCTTTCTTTCTCTCTCTCTTTCTTTCTCTCTCTCCTTCCTTCCTTCCTTCTTTCCTTCCTTCCTTCCTTCCTTCCTTCCTTCCTTCCTTCCTTCCTTCCTTCTTTCTTCCTTTCTTTCTTTCTTGTGTCTGGCTGCCATGGAATAGGAAAACCTTCTCCTTTACATGTCCCAACCATGATGTATTATACCATGACAAGCCAAACAACAGGGCCAAGAAATCAAGGACTAAAACCTTTAAATTAAACTGTAAGCCACAATGAAACTTTCTTCTTGATTCATCTAAGTATTTTTAAAGTAATGGGAACTGAACAACACATAGACTAGAATAAGCTAATGATTTTTTTCCAAGCATAAAACACTATCTTACCCTTCAGGTTGACTAAATTTAGATAGACAACACTTATTGTTAAAACAAATTTGAGATTCACTTATTGATTATGATTCAAGTCTAAATGCTGGCCCTTTAAAGGTTCTTTGAGAAATCATGATAACACACACCTTGATTAATAATTAATCTTTCTTAAATAACACTTATATTGTAAAAATATCATAAAGAGGAGTTATAATTACATGATCAAGGTAATAAGTCCATTTCTTATCAAGCATTGTTACTTCTTCCTTTGTTTTCCGTTACCATTCCTGCCATTCCATCTCCACAATTACATTCCCCCCCTGCCAAAGTTGTAAAGCTCATTTTTTGACAAATCATCTTATACATCTCACTTTTGCAATAAGTCCACCTGAATCCCTATTTGAACAATTTGCTTTTTCCCTTCCCTTCCCCAAATTATACCAACATAAAATACAGTAAAAACAGAGGCAGGGGTTATACCATGAGGGAGGGACATACAATGCAACAAAAAAATCACCTTATAAATGTGTTAGAAACAATAGCAAGAAAGAAAAAAAAAACACTTGTGTCCTTATCTTGGGGTTCATTTCACCTAACATCATTTTATCTGACCTTTTCTGCTTGTCTCAGACAATTAGGGTAATCATGGGACCTATGTTTCTTTGGGCCTGGCTTACTTCACTTGCACCATTTGCTAGGAAATGGAAAGACTTGGAAAAATTATATTAATAATTTATCTTTAAAATCTCACTCCATGTATACTCAAATGTTAACACAATAATTTCTTTAATTTTTATTCAATTAATTATATACACTGGCATAAACTTGTAAATATTTCAAAAATACTTTCCTATGTTTCTCTGCAATTTGTTTCCTTAATTTCTGGGCTGAAAACCAAAACTTCTAAAATTTTCAAGGATAATAAAAGAAATGTTTAATGCAAGGGTAGTTTCTAGTATGAAATATCAGAAAAAATATGTGCTCTTCCAGACTTTCTTCGTGATATATTGCTAATATGCTACTTAGCAATAGTGAATTGATGTCCATCAGTTATAACAATGTTTAAACGCTCTGTGCATTTGGATAAAAACACTTACTGGAGGTGCTGGAAACTTGTAAAGACATGAACCCCGCAAGGCGAGAAATGTTGGAGAGTACAATTTGTCTTGCAGGGGGTCCTGCTCCCGCACTTCACACCAACCCATGTAGACTATCTGCAAGAAAAAATTAAATATAAAGAAGGAAAGAAAATTACAATGAGACAAAGCAGGTCACACTATAATGATTATATATATGTATATGTATAAGTATATACAAAAGTCAGCATAATTATCAAAACTCATATTTAATCCCTCTAATTGTCAAAACTCAGAATTATTACTGTGTTTTTCATATCTTCTTACATCTCTGATAAAATTAGCAGGTTAATTTACAACAAAATTATACTGCAACAAATTTACTTTTAGTAAGTGAAAGTAAACCTCTTACAAGTATTTATGTTTTACTCAGTTTTTATTAAGTGTTCATTTATGCAGCTCAATAGCATGATTTATGTTTCCAGTTTCTGCTATAAAAATATTTACTTATACAAAAGTCTATTGACTCATTCCATTAGTTTCCAATTAGGGCCATTTCATTATGCAGAAATGTAATCTTCACATAAGAGAGTTAAGTTAGCAAAGGAGATAAGTGAGAGAGACACAGCTGGCAGGCCCCACATCAGAATGTCATAGCAGATCAGCCCAGAGCTTGACAGAGACAGGCTAACTCTTCATCTCATATGGTTATAGAATATGCGATCATGTTTTATATATCAAGTGTAAATGTTAGCTACTCTTTGCTTCTGGCTATGAGAAATAGTTGGATCAATTTTCAAAAGAAAGCCATGATGTAGGAGCCATTTCTCAATTTTCCATTATTTAATTATTGTGAAAGTCAAACATATGAATAAATATTAATTAAATGAATATGACAGTCTGTGAGATTTATTTAAATTGCATTTTTCTTTTACCAAAACCCCATGTGAATAGATATACTTCCACCTTTATATAATTTATTTTTATTTTGTGATTGGCAGAATTTTTCTTTTCAGTTTTTCTATATTGCTGAGTAGCCAATGAAATATTAATACACACGACATGAGTGTATTTGGGCTAGTATCTTGTGTTACTCCCATTTCTTTTTTCTTGGGGGGGAGTCATGGTGCCTGAACTCTGGTCCTGGGTGCTGTCCCTCAGCTCTTCTGCTCAAGGCTAGCGCTCTACCACTTGAGCCACAACACCACTTCTGGCTTTTTTCTTTTTGCTTATGTGGTGCTGAAGAATCGAACCCAGGGCCTCATGCATGCAAGGCAAGCTATCTATCACTGAACCACCTTTCCAGCCCCTATTATTCCCATTTCTTTAAGAAAAGACATACCTGACCTCAGGTGTAAGATGTGTATTAACAGAGCTCAAGTGACAGTCTGCACCCAAACTCTGCTAACTCCTGATTAGTTGCTAATGCCTGACATTAACTTACTTAAAGCAAGAAGTGTTTTGCTAGCAAATCACCTAATCAATGGGTGGAATGTTAGGATAACAATGATATATTTACAATAAGATATCTGTTCACCCATGAATTCCATTTTTTTCAGGATACTATTGTTATTTCTAATATATCAATAATTTGCTCATCATCTTACTATCTCAGTATATATTACAATAACCCTGTATGACATAAAAGTCCTGATTTAATGAAGTAACAAATTGTGATTTAAACAAATTAGGTTAATGAGTGAATGAAAGTATAAATTAGAAAAAGAATTTGAACCAAATTTCTTTGCTTTGTAAATTATGTATTCTTTAATTTCTTAGATTGCTGGTATGTATGTCTAAAATTTATATCATAATGGAACTAGTCATAAAATACAGCTGTAATAATCATTTGGTGTTGCATATATGGTTACATGCATAAAAATCAGATAACCTCATAATTTCAAATAGAAAGCTTACTAGTTAACCATTTCATAAAGGAAATAACATTATAAGGACACATATATACGTATATGTGTGTGTATATATATATATATATATATATATATATACCACAGATACACACATGCACACACACACACACACACACACACACATGTATGATATATAATGGTCTGTAATATAAGAGGGAATTAATTAGATTTTCCGGCTAGTTGTGTTTTATTAAGCAACTTCAGACAACTTAACAACTAAAGTTTCCTTGTAAAGTTAGAAAATAATAATATTCTTAAAGTACTACTTTTTTAATAAAATATGGAAAAATAACCAGGAAAATCCATAATCATGTAGAGAAAAATTTATTTATTAATGTAAATATGGACAAATTTTGTCATTAAAGTACATTCTATATAGAAAGGTCACATCAGAGAACAAGGTGTTTTTCAGCCTCTCCAGCTGAGAGTACATAAAATGTTAGTGTCCAGGATTCTCAAAATGTGTCTTCTGGGCTTACCAAAAATATTAGATTTTATCTAAAGTAACAGACACCAGCACTCTAACAGTGTTGAGACAAAGGCCATGAAGCCTTTGCCAGGACTAGGGCTACAGCATAAGTCATTGAAATAATCCTGAAATAGACAATTTCACAATATTGCTTTGGCTTCTTTATTATCTTCAATGATAGTTTCTTAGCATTTAAGTAAATAAAAACCTCTTGGGATGAAAATTACATTCTATTTTCAATACATTTTCATAACTCTCCTGCAGCATAACAAAAATAAGTGAGAAATGAAAAATTAAAACTTGTGGGTTTCTCCTGAAGTATATCGAGAGAATATCACACAGAACAAAAACAATAGAAAATCATACTGAAAAGATCCAGATGTTGGAATATTTGGACACAGAAACCATGCTTGCCACATGCAAGATGATAAGACAAAGCCAGGCACCGGTGGCTCACACCTGTAATCCTAGCTCCTGAGGAGGCTGAGAGCTTAGGATAACAGTACAAAGCCAGCCCGGACAGGAAAGTCCATTAATTTATCTCCAATAAACCACCAGAAAATCGGAAGTGGTGCTGTGGCTCAAGCAGTAGAGTGCTAGCCTTGTGCTGAAGAGCACAGGGACAGCGCCCAAGCCCAGAGTTCAACCAGAATTCAAGCCATACGACCAACCAAAAAAAAAAGAAGATAAGACAAGAAGAGCTTGAAATATTCACCAGGAAAAATTATAAAGTGCTTTACTTATAAATTAGACAAGTATATATTTAAAATTTATACTTGGGGTTAACAACTAGTTTAAAAAATTGAAGAACTAGAAACATTCTTTATTTTAAAATTTCTAAAAAAATTTCTACACAGCAAAAGTTGGATAAAAACTAAGAGGAGAATAAAAGAAAATAGTTACAATTAGAGTTTGAAATGCTTTTGAGTTTCAATAGATAAAAAAAATGATAGAAGACAGTTAAAGAGTTGCTATAAGAAAAGTTTCTAAAATTCATAAAAAGGGTTAACCTACTGATAGTCACAATGTGGTACTTCATCCTGAGTCTTCAGAAAACCAGTGTAAAAAATGGATATTAATGTGGCAAAGGCTGTGAATGTGGCTTAATATTTGAGTGCTTGCCTTGCATGCATGAAGCGCTAGGTTCAATTCCTCAGTACCACATAAAAAGAAAAAGCTGTCAGTGGCCTTGTGGCTCAAGTGGTAGAGGGCTAGCCTTGAGCACAGAGAGGCTCAGGCACAGTGCCCAGGCCCCGAGTTCAAGCCCCAGGACTGGCAAAATAAATAAATAAAAACAAACAAATAAATAAATAAATGGCAAAAATTCAGAAAAAAATATTAACTTGTCATGTCGAAAACGAGCTTTACAACGTTGGTGCGGGGGGGGGGGAGGATTGGGTGGTGGAGGTAGGGGGGAGGTAGGGAAGGGATGTGAAGGGTAAACAAAGGAGGAGGCTGCAATGCTTGATAAGAAATGTATGCATTATCCTGCCCATGTAATTGTAACCCCTCTGTACAGTATGTTCACAAAAAAATTAAATTAAATTAAAAAAATTTATATGTGGTTTACCAAGACACATGTGGTTTACCTGACATGTGTAACTCTAACCCCTCTATATATCACCTTTACAGTAACAATAAATTATATTTTTTAAAAAAGAATCCACTGTATAGCCTACAAAAAGAAGAGTAAGTAAAGGAGCATGTAGGGGAGAAATGGGTGAGAATGTCGAAAGGGGTGACATAAAACAAGATAACTTAACTCAAGATAACTGCTTTGTTAAATGGCAACTCTTGTACAATTACTTAAAGTTATTTAAAATAAAAAAGATATTCAGCTCTGTTTTAGGAGGAAAATAGAAATGTACCCATTACCTGGCTTATGTAACTGTAACCACTCTGCACATCACATTTACAACAACAATATTTTTTTAAATGACATGTATGTGAATTTGTGTGTGTGTACAGGTATATGTGCAGTGTATATAAACTCAGGGCTTTGTGAAAGCTACACAACCACTCACCACTAAGCCATATCCCAGGGCCAAATATTACATTTCTATGAAATACTAAATTTGTACAATTAGACTGACAACTGCTTTCTCAAAAGAATAAAAGGTAAGGCAGCATATCATTCAAGTTAAACTTCAATGAATCGAATGAACAAGAGAGCCAGACTATATTCTATATACAACAGAATTTGCAGGCGAGATTCAGGTTTAATAATAGGTAGACACTTGAAGTGATAAAGTCAACATTGAAGAACCCAACATAATGGATGATGCAGAGACTCAGATGCTAGAAATATGAAAGAGAAAGGATATAAAAAATTTGCATAGATTTGTTATTATAACATGACAAAAACATTCAAATTCAGTAGAAAGTAGTTTTGGACAAAGTAATCTCAGTTATTTGAAGATGACATAAGTTACATTTAACATTATATTTTAGTAGTCACAGATATATTTTGAAAGTTACTTTTGTAAAAGTTTTAATCTCCAAATTAATCTCTGTGTAAAGCTCTAAGAGAATAAACTTCAGTAGTAAAGCTTTTTGAACATGTTCCCCATAATATATTTCTTGATTTCAGTGGCAATAATGGCTTTCTTGTTCATTCCTAGGTTTCTACCACTTGAACCATGCCTCTAGTCCAGAATTTTGCTGGTTAATTGGAGATGGAGTCTTTTTTTTCTTTTTAAAATAATTTTTATTGAGATTAAGTGATTACATAAATTTCA